GCCCATGTAACTCTCTATGTCTTTCTCATCCTCAATGCCTGTTGCACATTCTTGTGCCATCTTTATGATCTTTGGTTTCTTTGAGCCCATTCTTGTGGTTATTGTGTCATTCAGCTCATCAAGGTTTTCCTTCATTTTCACTGCTCCTCTGCTTTACCAAACAAGGTATTTTTCCTAGTGATCAGTCAGCCTTTCCAATGATGTGTCCAAAGGAAGCAAGATAAAGTCTCATCATCTTTGCTCCTAAGGAGGATTCCAGTAATATGATTCTCATCCTTGAGTTGATCCTATTCTTATTAATAGACATGCATTGGAAGAGACAGAAATGATGAAATGGATCACACAGGAATCTTTCCTTGAAACCTCTAGGACGTGGCAAGTCTCTCTCTTTGTGTCTCTATACCTTCTTCCACTTGAGCCCCAGGATTCCTCAGCCACCTTTCCCAGTGGCATTTTCCTTGTCTCTTCCTCCTTCTCTCCAGCCTTGAGGGGCTGGATGGCTGTGACTTGTTCTTTGCACAGCCCCAGCCTGCCTTATGACAGGAGTTTGAGAGAAGTGAAGGGTGGAGACCCTGTTCCTCAGAGATCTTACAGAAGCACACGGCTCGTGTGCCCATAGTTGGCTCTATTCATGTTCCACACCAGGGAGAAGGTCACTCCATCCCTAATACCCTGACACAGAGCTGCTCTTCTCTGTGGGTTAGTAGAAGAGGCAATCAGTGGGCTATGGCTCCAGAAGGCCTGGAGAAGGGTGAAGGCTTGAATGATCTATTTCCAGGAAGGACACAGCTGCAGTTGGAGCCCCCAGATACCCTGCCCAGTGGCCTTTCCTGTGCAGGGATGTCTATCTACTTCTATCCCACCCCTGTCCCCTAAGCCCCCAAGTAGAGGCCAAGAACCCTGAGAAGATTAATCAGTGTGAGGATGATGAGGTGTCAGTGACATCCCCCTGGAGAGGCTGGGCCTGGGGCAAATTACCCTATAACATCAGGTTAATTAGTTAAGACCCAAATTACATGAGCAAGGCTTGCAAGCCCAGCAATTTGAAAGTTTCATGTTGTTTCAGAGGTGGGGAAGGCTTGATATCTAGCTCAGCATAGAGAAAATGACTTCTTGCTTCCAGGCAAGCCAAACCCACGAATTAAGCTCTTGACTGCCCATCCAAGAACCCGAGTGCCAAGCACATATAAAGGGACCTGTCAGTCCCCACTACAACCAGCAGAACTGTGTAGAATTTCAGCTTCCTCTCTCCTGTGTCTGAGATCCATCTCCACCAACAACATGAGCCGCCAATTCACCTACAAGTCTGGAGCTGCTTCTAAGGGGGGCTTCAGTGGCTGCTCGGCAGTCCTCTCTGGGGGTAGTTCAACCTCCTACCGGGCAGGTGGCAAAGGGCTCAATGGGGGCTTTGGCAGTCGGAGCCTTTATAGCCTGGGTGGCACCCGGAGCATCTCTCTCAACGTGGCCAGTGGCAATGGGAAGAGTGGCAGCTACGGGTTTGGCCGGGGCCGGGCCAGTGGCTTTGCCGGCAGCATGTTTGGCAGTGTGGCCCTGGGGCCCATATGTCCAACTGTGTGCCCACCTGGAGGCATCCATCAGGTCACTGTCAATGAGAGTCTCCTGGAACCCCTCAATGTGGAATTGGACCCCGAGATCCAGAAAGTGCGTGCCCAGGAGAGGGAGCAGATCAAGGCACTGAACAACAAGTTTGCTTCTTTCATTGACAAGGTGGGTCTGCTAGAACCTGGGGGAACCTCTGAACTATCTTCTCTTCTTGGAAAATGAGGTTTTGTTACAGCAGGAGGGATTGAGGCTAGATATGAGGAGATCCAAAAGTAAAAGACTCGCTTCTTACTTTCAAGAGTCAGATTGGTGCCACTGCTAAGCCTGGAAGCCATGCAGTATATGAAGAGAAAGCCGGTGAGAAGGAATCCACTCAAAGTAACTAAGGAGGTTTGCTCTCCTCTCATTGCATGTGGATCTTGGCTATCAGTCAGTTAACCAGTGGATCCAGAGCACCAGTGGGTGGTCATTACAAGCCCTCTGGACTCACAGATATCTCAGCTACGGCTATGGGAATTTTTCATATGTTAAGGGTTCTCTCAAAAGGCAGAGTAGTGTAGTTTTAAGGAACTCTCTGGAGTTCTCTGAAGTCAGACCTGGCTTTAGTCCTTCTCCTATCATCTGCCATCTATGTGGCTTTGGATAAGTTTCTTATCCTTTTATGCTTCCATTTCCTCATCCTTAACGTGCCTATTGGGGTTGTTGTCAGGTTTTAAAAATAAAAGGCATGTGAAGATGTTGGCCCGGTGTACCACACTAAGTACTCCAAAATGGTGGCTATTGCTACAGTCATTTTTATCTCAGGAGGCCTGGGGAGAGGTGCCGAGAAGGGGAAGAATCAAAGCACTAGAAGAGAGCCAAGGGATCATCAAATCCAGACAGGGCCCTGACTTTTGAGAAATTATTACACCCATTTTACAGATGAGTCAACAAAGAAATGGAGGTAAATGCCATGTCCAAGGTCATCTGAGAGGAAAGGAGAAGGTGAGGTTGGACCTTTAGCTACCAGCCTCCAGACCCAGGACTAGAGACTATAGGGCTATGTTGCAGTCAAATACTGAGGACAAGTCAATCCAGGACAAAGGCTATGGTTGAGAGAGTCACATGGCTATCACAGCTTAGCCTTTCCTTACAACTCTAGACTTCCTGTTGGAGGTTTCCTTGCTGCTCTCTGATCAGCCTCAGGAGCTCCAAACCTCTCTGTGGCTTCTTACTCTTCTAAATCGTTTTATATATGGATGATCAAGGCATTCTGAAGATTGGATTCTGGGGAACAAAAATGGACTGGTCCTTGGATGAGCTGGTCAAATCCTATTAAGGGGTGAAGTCTAGAGACATGGAAAGAAAGATGAACATGAAGACAGGTATCTTTTGTTGGCAAAGGTGGCTGCCCAGGGATAGAAGGCAATAGGCTCAAATGCCTGAATAGTTTCCAAATAATTTCAATTTCCTGAGTAAAATCTCTTGACTTCTGACAGCCAGAGAAAATGGGAAAATGTTATGAGCAATACAGATGTGTCCAATAGTCCAAATATGTGTTGTGGTACCTAGATTGTAGGGTTTACTCTGTGGTTGCAAAACAACGCACTGCCGTGGAGTTGGGTCCAACTCATTGTGATCTCTCCTTGGGTTTCCAAGGAGGTATCTCTACGGGAGTATATTGCCCAATCTTCCTTCTGAGGAGTGGTTGGTGGGTTTGAACCTCCAGCCTTCTGCTTAGCAGTCAAATGCCTTAGGCACTATGCCACCAGAGCTCCTTGGTTAGTGTTCAGTCTTATGGATATATATGAAAAAGTTAGGACTTGTTAAACCAAACCAAATATTGAATGATCTACTAGAGACAGCTGTTGGTAAATAACCACACAGCCACAGTAAATTTCAGGTAATTTTCCCCTGGTCTATGTTTCTGATTTCAGGGAACACAGCTTTATTTAAATTGAAGCTATGCTCATGCCGATTAAGAAAAGTCATATATTGAAAACAGTGGCGCCCAAAGCAAACTAGAAAGACTGTGCAGACCAGCCCCATCTTGTCAGGTTCCTGGCTCTGTGAGGGCTGCGATGGAAAGGGGCCTGCAATCTGTCCACCTTGTGCTAAATGCCATGCTTGCTCCAGGGAAGATGACTCTGATAAGAGAGACTTAGGGGAGAGGGTAGAAGCTAGGATTGAGGATAGAATTGGGGCTTAATGCAGGGATTTAAATACCCAGAAGCCCTCATTTAGCTTTGGCATATTATAAAATAAAGAGCAGATTCCCATTTTCAGAATGGTCAATCTTTCCAACAAGATGGACCTGGTCTGATTTCTGTCCTGGTATTTTCAGGTACTCCCATGCCCTGAGATGGCTTGGCCACGGTGGGTTCTAGGTGACTGAGTGCACATGTTTGGGTTCAGTCTGGGCTCCACTACTCAGTAAACTGTTGGACCTACCTTGTAAGGTTGCTAAACTTCCCTGTGCCTCAGTTTCCTCACCATCAAGTAGAGGTAGTGATTCATCCACCTTATGCAGCTGTGGTGTGGACAAAGGAGACAATGCAGGTGAAGTACTTCACACAGTCCCCTGTGGGTGGAAGCTGTGACAATGTCCTTGGGGACTCAACATTTTCTGGGCTTTCGGTTTCAGGTGCGGTTCCTGGAGCAGCAGAACCAGGTGCTGGAGACCAAGTGGGAGCTGCTGCAGCAGCTGGACTTGAACAACTGCAAGAACAACCTGGAGCCCATCCTTGAGGGCTATATCAGCAACCTGCGGAAGCAGCTGGAGACTCTGTCTGGGGACAGAGTGCGGCTGGACTCAGAGCTGAGGAACGTGCGGGATGTGGTGGAGGACTACAAGAAGAGGTGAGTGAGGAGGAGACTTCCTGCAATTGGACAAGTGCACGTGGCTCTCTGAGTTCATCCTGCAGGGGCTGGCTCTTTGGTGCCTGGGCGGATGCCCCAGTTTCTGAAGTAGGAGTTGGAACTTTTTGGAGGTGGAAGGCAGTGTCTTGGGTCACACCAAGAACAGTGGCCACAAAAAACCTCTGGAAATGGCTCCCTGCTCCTGCAGCCTCTGGTGTGGCACTTAGAAAAATGTCCAGTCATTTCGGCAGTGGTCAGAGAGTTATCTCCTGACTCTGAGGGGAGGGAACCTTGGGAGAACCTCTCACATTCTTCCAGCATGTCCATGTCCTCTTTGATAAAATGGGAGTAAGTACATCTACATCCCAGAAGTACAGTGAGGAGCAGCTACAGAAATACATGTGGGAACACTTTGCAAATTATAAGGTTTTATTCAAATTTTGGGGTAGCAGCTTGCTTCTTCCTTCCTTCAAGATTTCCCACAAGACAATCACCCCACATACTCCTTCCTTTTCTTCCAATCCAGAACTTTAATAATCTCCTTCTTACAAACTTAGTTGCCATGTCACTTCCTCCAGGAAGCCCTCCTTGCCTAGCTGGCCCTTCTGGTCCCTCAGCATCTCTGCCTTTTGTCTGACACACCACTTCTCCCTCAGGGTCTTCCCTGGGCAAGTGAGGGCTCTCTGTAAGGTATCGCCTGACCTAGCCCTGGCATTCCCATAGGTACGAGGAGGAAATCAACAAGCGAACGGCTGCGGAGAACGAGTTTGTGCTGCTCAAGAAGGTGAGAGGGATAGCAGGCCATGGTCCCCATGGAGTGGCCTAGGACCACAACACAGTGAGCCTGCCAATGTGCATCACTATCGGCCAGAAAATAGATTCAGAAAGAGTGAGGTGAAAGGCAGAGAAAAGCCAAAATGAAGGCTTTCATTAGAAAATAATAATAATAAAACCAGGATGATGGTGAGAGGATCCTTACTGAAGGTTTTCATGTGGGCATGGGTTATCCATAAAGAAGCACAGAGAGGCTCCTTCTCTGGCAGGGATGGCACAAAGGGGCTCCCAGTGCAGCCAGAAGGATCTGGCTCAGACAACAGAGGGATAGCTGACAGCTGGCCTACCTGAGAGGACCAATCACCCCAGCAGAGGGAACAGATCCTTGGGATGGGGTGGGCTGGGCCTTTTGTTACCTCATCTTTCCTATGTACCACACAAAGAGATGAGGGCTGGCTATACTGCCCAATAGGACACCCGGTCTGGGTGGGGCTCACCTTCTTGGGCTGATGCACTGGCATGACTAGTGGGTGGTTTGGTTATCTTTTAGGATGTGGATGCGGCATATGCCAATAAAGTGGAACTGCAGGCCAAGGTGGACTCCATGGACCAAGACATCAAGTTCCTCAAGTGTCTCTTTGATGCTGTAAGTCTGTCTCTCCACTCCAACCTTCTAAAGGTAGCCAGTAGATGTAACTCCATTCTAGGGACTGAGAGAGATCCAGAGAAGGGAGGGCCCCCAAGTTAGCCATTTGGCTATCATTTAAGTCCTAAAAGGCTTCAGAATCTCCACCCTTTGGATAGGAGGAAACAAGTCAAGACTCTGTCTCCATAGCAGTGGGAATCTGTCTGGAGCTTGGCAGTGACCTTTCTTTGTTCAGAGTGGCAATAGCCTTGGATTTTGAGCCTTTAAGTTAGCACCACTGAACTTTGTTCACCTTGCTTTGGATAGGTTGCCCAATGCTAGCCTCAGACAGTAGTTAAGCCCCAAGACCATTTGTGTGTCTCCTGTAGGAGATCACTCAGATCCAGTCACACATCAGCGACATGTCTGTTATCCTGTCCATGGACAACAACCGCAACCTGAACCTGGACAGTATCATCGATGAGATCCGCAGTCAGTATGAGGACATTGCCCTGAAGAGCAAGGCTGAGGCTGAAGCCCTGTATCAGACCAAGGTGAGCTGAGCTGAGGTTTGGCTAGAGATGGTGGTGCCTGCAAGGCTGAAGACTGAGCCTTATCATCCCCAGAGCAGAGGACACATCTACTCACATGTCCAGTATGCCCTGGCCCCCAAGATTTCACCAACCCTGTGATTTGTGATCCCAGTTCCAGGAACTGCAGCTGGCAGCTGGCCAGCATGGGGACGACCTCAAAAACACCAAGAATGAAATCACAGAGCTCACCCGACTCATCCAGAGGATCCGCTCAGAGATTGAGAACGTGAAGAAGCAGGTAAGGGGCCTGGCTGCCCATGGCCAGGGCCAGGTGAGCTTGAGTGCAGGAATGAGTGAATTGGCCAAAGAAGCCAGCCTTTCCAATCTCACCCATGAAAAGAAATAAGGCCAGTGAAGTCACTGCCTCAAACAGATTGTGCAGAACACCTTGGAGCCATCCTGTCTCTTACTGAGCCCCTCAAACCTCTGCTTTGAAACCCCCTTCCCCTAGGGAATCTTCTATCATGTCCCAGGCTGGGTTAGGACCCTTTCCTCTGCCCTCCTCTGCTCTCCTGGCACCTGTGCTTGCCCTGTACTTGTTTGTCATACTTTTTGAAATTGCCTGACACCAGCCCCTTCTTCCAACTAGATCAAAAGGTCTTTGGAGGCAAAGAGCTGGTTGCTTTGGTAACCCTTGCTTTTCCAGCATCTATCACAGTACCTTGTACATAATAGAAGTGTAATAATATCTGTTGATTTGATGACTGAGAGGGAGAAATAAGCTCAGGGAATGTCCATTAAAGTGCCTTTGATAAATATGTATGAAGGACTTCCCAGGACCCTTCCCAGGAATACAGGATGAAGCTTCAGCTTTAAGGAGGTGTGGAGTTAAGATGTATTTATATAATAACAATAGCAGCAACTCTATCATTTCATCACATTTAACCTTTACAATGACCCTGTGAGGCAAGAGTTATCATCCCATTGCTACAGTTGAGAAAACTGACACTCAAAGAGGTTCAGTATGTGACACTGTTTGTAAATGGCAGATCTGTGATCTGAAACAAGATCTGACTCATTGTCCAGTGATCTTTCCACTATCCTCTCAAATTAGGCACTTAGTATGTGTGTGACCTTGGACAGGCCACTGGGCCTCACTTCACAGGGTGCTGTAAGGACTAAATGAGCTGAAACACATAAAGCACTGAGTATAGTGCTAGGTATACAGTAAGTGCTTGGTAAATAATAGCTACCCTGGGGGACAGCCTTCATTGTACCCTTGTCTGTGGTCTCCTGCATCTGATTAGCTGTCATTGTTGCACCTACCACCAAAAACCAAAATAACCAAACTCAGTGCCGTCAAGTCTATCCTGACTCATAGCAACCCCTCCTTGGGTTTCCGAGACAGTATCTCTACAGAAGTAGATTGCCCAGTCTTCCTTCTGAGGAGTAGCTGGTGTTTGAACCTCCAGCCTTCTGCTTAGCAGTCAAATGCCTTAGGCACTAAGCCACCACCTAACACACCATATTACAATGACCTCTCCTCCCAAACTTTAAAATTTGGAAAGCAGAAAGCCAATCTTACTCTTATTCATTTTGTATCCTACTCAGCACAGTGTTGCTGAATAGATGTCTTTGCACTCAACTGAAGTGCTGAATTGCCTATCATCTCAGGGGAGCAAGAATATGCTATTTCCCATCATCACTAACATCTGAACACAAAAGAGAGGAGATAGAGCTAAGGAAGAACATTCCAATGGTAGAACAGAGCACGGTGGTACAATGGGTGCAGGTGGGCATCTCTGCCTCGGAATCTTAAAGAACAAGAGAGATTTTGATGCAGGTCACTCTAATGACTCCTTTTGGTTTTCTCACTTCTCCAATTCTCTCCTTTAGGCTTCCAATCTGGAAACAGCTATTGCTGATGCTGAGCAGCGAGGGGACAATGCTTTGAAGGATGCCCGGGCCAAGCTGGATGAGCTGGAGGCCGCCCTGCACCAGGCCAAGGAAGAGCTGGCCCGGATGCTGCGTGAGTACCAGGAGCTGATGAGCCTGAAACTGGCCCTGGACATGGAGATCGCCACCTACCGCAAGCTGCTGGAGAGTGAGGAGTGCAGGTGAGAGTGGGGTGTGGTGCTGTGGCAGGAAGGCTCCAAGGGTTTGAGAAGAACCAAAGGCCAAAGCCCAACACATCCTAATGCAGAGGAGATGAGTTCTTGGGGTGTGAGGAAGGTGGTTGGTGATAGGAATAGTGCTAGTAAGAAGCAGTATCTATCAAAGAGTCCTTGGGTGATGCAAAGGGTTAACATGCTCAGTTGCTAACCAGAGGATGGAGGTTCAAGGCCACCCATGTGTGCCTTGAAAGTGATCTACTTCCCAAAAGTCAGCCATTGAAAACTCTATGGAGCCCAGTTCTACTCTGACACATAGTAGTCACCATCAGTTGAAATAACTCTATGGCAAATGTTTTTTTGTTTTTATTAAGGCTTGAGCGCTTATTTCACACCAGGTGCTGTGTTAACTACTTTATGTAGATTGGTTCATGTAATCCTCACAACTTCCCTAGATGCACTTGGGAACACTCTGTTGCTGTTATTTGCCATCGAGTCGGTCCCGACTCCTAGCGACCCCTCCTTGGGTTTCTGAGGCAGTTATCACTACGGAAGTAGGATTGCCCAACCTTCCTCCCGAAGAGTGGCTGGTGGGTTTGAACCGCCAGCCTCCTGGTTAGCAGTCAAGTGCCTTAGGCACTATGCTACCACCTCCTAAAAACAAAAACAAGAACAAAACCCATTACTATATTAGATCTTCTCCTTCCATTTTCTTTACCCATCCAGGTTCAATATGAGCTCATCAGGGATGGCCTGGGGCAGCCACTCCAGGTTCCCCAATGTTCTAGGGAAAGGGATGGTCTTGGTGTGTGGGCCATACACCTGGAGAGTGTGCACATTACATTTCATGCAAACTGTTCTTGGACTTTGGTTGTGGTCTGGTTTTTATAAAGATTCAGGGTTGCCCTTGAAATGTCTTAGGTTCTTCTTGTATTAAAGAGCCCTGGAGTTCAGATCCCCACATCAGGCTGTGGGGTCACTAGCTCTGATAATTTCCCTCTAGATAGCATTCAAGCAGAAGAAACTGTGTGGGTCCAGTGACTGCTCTCTCTTATTTTTACTTTTCTCCTTAACAGAATGTCAGGAGAATTTCCCTCCCCTGTCAGCATCTGTAAGTACTATGTTCTTTGTCCTAAAATTATAGAATCTGGGGACTAGTCACACTTTGTATGTGTATAAGAGGAATCTAAGAACCAGAGAGGGAAAAGCCTTGCCTAATATCACACAGCAACCACATGGCAGAGGCATGCTCAGAAATCAGGTCTCCAGACAGACCAGGGCCCTTTCCTTTTTATCACTCTGTCTCTAGGGGATAGAAGCTAAGGAAAGCTATTGCCATAGGGGATTGGGACACAAAAGACATATGGCAAGAAAATGATTTATGGACCTGTGTGAGGCAAGAGGAGATTGGGTTTGTGATTTGTGATCGGATCTGGGCTGGGGAATCAAAGAGGCTAGAGAAATCAAAGAAAGGGGAACTTAGAGATCAAGCCAACAGTATTGGAACTCTGGGCTCAGCCAAGAGGCTAATAGAAGGGCAGGGGTGAGTGTCCAAAAATACAGGTGGGTATGTTGGTAGCTGGTCTGATGAAACAAATCTTTGAGATTAAATAGAACAAAAATGAGTCAGATTGGGTACAAACTGATTGAGCCAAGGGTAGGATATGGGGGGGGGGGAGTGGTCATAGCGGTCTTTACTCAGCAGGGGGTGGTGAACAGAGCTCCTACTCACCCAGTGCTCTGGCAGTTGCCCTATCTGTCCTGGGAATGGGAGGCCTCCTCTGGGCCAGCCACCTCTGGCTATGTGGGCACTGACTCAGGTTCTCTCCCACAGCCATCATCAGCAGCACCAGTGGGGGCTTCCGGCCCAGCTCAGTCAGCGGCGGCTACGTGGCCAACAGCAGCAGCTGCATCTCTGGAGTGTGCAGTGTCCGTGGTGGGGAGGGCAGGAGCCGCGGCAGTGCCAGTGATTACAAGGATACCCTGGGCAAGGGCTCCAGCCTGAGTGTCCCCTCCAAGAAAGCCAGCCGGTAGAGGGGGCCGCAAACCTTCCTGCCATGCCAGTGACCCCACTCTGGGCCTCACATTGCCCTCTCAGCCCACTGTCAGAACTGTCTGCACTCTGTCTGGACCCTGCCAGTCCTGCTCTTGTATATCTGGCTGTGGCCACTGCACTTCTCCCTGTGTCTCCTGAACCTGGAAAAGGCTAGATGACTCAGCTTGTGAAATGCTTCCTGCAAATTCCCTGCATTCCTCTCCTTGATTGCAGTTGCCCAGCCACACCACTGTACAGTTTAGGGTCCTTTTCTTCACTCTCCTGCATCTAAAAGCAGAAGAGAGGAGACACCTTTCTCTTCTCTCTTGTTCTTAAAGGTCCTCCCTTGTTGCATTCTCAATAAACAGCATGATTGGATAGTTTGGTCTCTGAGTATTTAAAGTATGTGCGTCCACCTCAATTCAAATGCTCATGTGAGCATGAACCACATGCACACAGACACACACAGCACACACATGAACATTAACATACAGCACACACACACGGAGACTCATGTATAACAAACATGAACACGCATACATGAACGCTCACACGTAGCATAAACACAGAGACACACACATACATTACTGAGTAGTGCCTGTGCCGCCTGTATTTCTGGGTTAATTTTCTCTGCATATTGGAAAAAGAAGAGATGTTAAGAACATTAATGGCAGTGGGAGTGCGGTATCAGGCATGCAGGAAGATGATAGGTGGCAGGTCTCAAGGCGGAGGGAAGTGTGGAGCCGAGTTTGGGAAGAGGGGAGGAGGAGGAGAGACAAGAAGGAAAAAGTATGGAAAGGGTGTATGTGTAACTTAGTTTGTAACTTTCAGCAAAAATATGAACAGTGTCCATGACAGAAACGATCATGTTCTTGACAGAGCCTGGGCCTCTTTCTGTGAGGAAGTAGGAGCTCAGTAGAGGGGCATCTGAATGTGTCCACCCTTTTCTTCCTGCTTGAGGCCTGGCCTAATGAGCAGCCGGAGTTGAGAACTGCTGGCCTGGAGTGTGATCGTAGAAGTAGGGCTTCAAAATGGTTCAGCCTGGTTCAGTCATGGAAGAAGAAACAGCAAAGGAATGGACTTGAATTTTAAAATGTAGGTAACCAGGACACTAAAAATTAAGCATAGAATATTAGGAAACAAGGGCAGCATGTGTGTTGCACAGCAGCCCAAACTTTGGACTGACTAAGTCAAAAACAGTGGTGCTGGGCTCAAAGATGGGAGGTAATGGTGCCACTTTGATCGTGTGTCATTCTCCAAAGTCCTGGCGATAATCCAATGTTGTGCATCAGGCTCCCGAGAGGACTCACTACTCTCCTTCCGAGTCTCCCATTTCAGAACTTCGATTGTAATTTTTCCCATTCTGGTTAGCAATCTGGGTCATCCAGGTTAAAAAAATTCAGGTCTGTTCCTGTTTTGCCTCCTTAGCCATGACTGAACTAGTTCAAACTGATTCAAAGCCCTGCTTAGAAGGATTCTGTGATTGGGCCCAGATCAGAGGGAAAGAACAGTACCTATGATTGCAGCACCTGCTGTGGTCATAGGAAGAAGGGTTAGTGGTGCACCTTCACCTTCCTCATTGGTGCCTTACTGACACCTCACAGTTTACAAAGCACTTTCTCACCAGTATCTGAGAACAGCACTGTGTAACATTGTAAAATTGCCCTTTACAGATGAAAAAAATAACTGAGGCTCAGAGACTCTGTCTATGTACAACCACCCTGGGCTGGAGGAAACCCCAAAGTTACACTATCCACTGCCTGCCTTTTGGGGGCTAATGGAAGGAGTATGGGTACAGGGCTTGGCTCATGACTCTTGATGGGCTTTGTACTTGGCAGTGCTGCCACCTGCCTGCCTGCTTCTCTCATCCAGTAAATTCCAGAGGAGATCAACCATTGAGTAAGTGAGAAATAGAACTCCGTGCTACAGAAGAAGTTCCGTGCCGCCTGCCTTCTTAAAAGGCTTTGATTTCCTGATGTGGTGGGGTACTAAAGAGCAGGGACTCCTCCATTTGTTTCACCTTCCAAGGAACTGAGTCACAGAAAGGAACAGAAGACTTTACCCAGTCATCCAGGTTGTAAGGGGCAGAGCCTGGCTTGGACCCAACCCCCCTACCACCATGCCCAGTGCTCTTTCCAACAAACAGCACTGACCTCCAACGTGAACATTGGACATGTCCAATACAGGGCAGCATTGACCTCCATGTGGGTGAGGAGATGATGTCTGTGGTGGGCAGTAGGATCAGGGACCAGCAGGGAGAGGCTTGAATGTCTCAGGATCAGAGAGGATGTTGGGAAAAATGACAAGGTAGGTACTTTACAAGGCAGATGTTTAGCAGTGTGGAGGAGGAGAGTGGAGGCGGGCTGCAGTTGCGAGGAGGATAGGCCACAGGAGTAGGCAACATGAGAGGACAGGCAGGCCAGAGGCTGCCTGGGGAAACCAGAGATAAGTAGTATACATTCATCAGCTCTGCTCTGAACGGTTCAAGAAAGGTCTTTCCTACCTAAGCCTCTGGCTCCCTGAAACCCAGAAGGAGCAGAGACTCCTGGCTACAAGAAGTGGGGAGGAATGGGGTCTCTGGAGACACCCCAAGCAGAAGAAAAGAGATTCAGGTACATATTGTAGCTGGGATGAGGCCTGGGGTGTGTGAAAGAACCTTCAGTAAGAGAAACGAACTGGAAGCAAAGATGGAGTGGCTGTGCAGGAGACCAGCTTCTTAGTGGTTGCAGGCTCCCTGGGGGAGAAATCAGGCTGGGCTCTGATATGGGCCTGGAGTGGGAGCAGTAGCTGAGCCAAACCTGGTCTCTTTCTGAAGGAAGCAGGGCCTTGGACAGTCACTTTGCATGGCCTGATTTCCTCTGCTGCTCAGCCTTTTTCATCTCCTCTTGCCTCCATGACCACATGCAGGGGCTGGACCATCTTATGGCCCTATCTCCCACTCACAGATGCCAAGGCTGAGCCTCAGAAAGGGCAAGTGATGATGCCTGGCTTAGGCCTTCTGACTCCCAGTTCATTGCTCTTTGCATTTTACTGCTGTCCTACAATTCCTGCCAGATTATTACACTCAGTGCAAAGACTAACAGGGATCAAGTGGCAAAGCTCAGAGATCTTCCTCTCACTATGAATGATCCAAGAGACAACTACACCCACTCCTCATTTATCAACATGGTTAGGTTCCAATAACAAGGTCGTTATGTGAAATCGGCATTATCCAAAAATGGAGGATAACTAAGTCATTACATAACTGCCAGATTATTTCATTACATAGCTGCCAAACCACTGAGAATCATGGCCCAGCCAATTTGATACAAAATCTTAACCATCACAGCCAGCATTACTCTTGCCCTGCACGTTGGCATTCATTACTGTTAGATGTATGCTGTTAATGAGCAAAATAGTTGGGTAGTATATTTCTTACTAATGTTGTAAGTGTGAAATGTCACATAACGAGAGAGTTGATAAGTGGGGAGTAGGTGGAGTTCTAGTTTTCCAGCTAGAACTAACAGTTTTTTCCCTTGCATCCCTCAAAATGCCCAGAGACCATTTATTGCATGACTTCCTCACTTGTGTATTCTTTGCAATTAATCCCATAAGTTCAGGAACAATCTTTTTTTCCTCTTTAAATGTCTGGTATTAGAATCAGTTGTACACCTCCATTGGTTGTCCAGCTCAGTTGGCAGGGATGGCTTGTGTAAGAGGATGCCTGGAGTGGGACTGAGGGTCAGGGCAGGGCTAGAAGGGAAGCCAAAAGAGAGAAGGATCTCTGGGTAGCAGCGACTATAGAGTGGAGAGAAGAGGAAGAGGAGGAGAGAAGAGAGGAGATGAGAGGAGCTGTCATCTATTCACTGCACTGTCCTTTTCCTCAGATGCAGAAAGTGGAGGCCTGAGATGCTTAGCAAGTGTCTCTTGCTGTCTGAGAGCCCTTCTCTGTTTTCCACCCCACTTTACTGTACCTTTCCATCACTACCAATACTTGTCTCCAGAACCTGAATCTTTTGCACCTTTCTATTCTCAGCCTATGCCTGGCACACAGTTTGCCTACAATATGAGTAGAGTAACTCCCTTTCTCATAGGGCTCTGGACTCCAGACTACTCTTGTGGATACTGATAGAGTTGGACCTGGTTTCACCCAGCTAGAGGTTGCAGAAGCAGGTCAGGCCAGAAAGAGTGGCCCAGATGAGCGACTACCAGGTGCTGCTGCAGGTCAAATTGGCTTTAGATTGGAGACTAGCGTCCTCAGGACATCTCTGGAGGGCCAGGAGAGCAGAAGGGATTCCTCATGGCACCTGTCTCCCTGCAATTCCTGCTGTTAAGCTTCTTTTCTCCATATGTGAAATCTCATTGCCATGGGCCACCCAAAGTACCAGGCGGGGGCCCAAAGGGGAGGAATGGAAACTGAGGTTCATGGCACACCTACTGTGGGCCAGAATTTCTGTAGGCTGGGCATGTCTCCTATGTTATCTCTCTGAGGTGGACATTATTATTCCCAAAACAGAGGCTGCATACAAAATTCAGGATTGCAGAGCCAGGAGATGGCATAGCCAAGATTCAATGAGGTCTGTCTCTCCAAAGCCCACACTCTTTCCACATTACCATCCTGCCTTCCAGTGTGGGAACAATCTTCTCTGTCAATCAGCTGGTGCACATTTTCTATGGGAACTTCTGTCCTGTTCCACCAGCTGAAGCTTGATGACGCTAGGTCCCAGCCACTGGGCTGGGTCTCTCTTTTCCCTGCTGATTGCCATGTAACCCACCTCTGGTTTCCCTACTGTAGGCTGGCTGCAGAAGTTGTGACCTTTTGTCACCTATAAGTCATAGAAGGCAATTCCCTCAATGGTGGAATGGGGCGAGAAAGTACCTAGACCCCAGGCTACTTTTCTGGCCCTTGAAGCCCTGGTTTCCCATGGCAGAGATAGTGAAGGCAGAAAAGAACCAGAAGGGAAGAAGGCTGCGAGGATGTGGTGGTGGGTTGGAGTGGAACCAGTGTAGGGTGGATGGG